ATACAAGTATAAGTGTAATACCGTGAGGAGTGATGGAGGGCAAAGCAAACGCGAGTAAAGTAATTTTCGTTGGAGATTAACTCACCTGCATCGAAAGGTTTTTCTGCTTTCATTCACAATAATAATATTCGCCAATTTCACTATTAACATGTACATAGTTTGAGGTTGCAGTCGATATTTAGCTTTAGAAGCTGTATAGAAATATATATATACAGGCGAGTAGTATCTTCATCTATTGAAATTTTATGGGCCTGTTCCTTAAAATTTACTTTTAGCGTGATGATAATTTTATGCCACGTTCTTCTTTGCAGAGCTCGATAAATCAGCATGGCACCACGGGGCCGAAAACCCCTGTGGGGGTATCGAGGAACAAATCGGAACGAGAGAGGAAGATCGGTCACAGGAGAGTTGGAGTGGGAGGTGAAATCACGTACAAAAAGGTATTCCAAAGAACCGTAATGCCGCGTAATCAGTTCGCAAACAGTTTGATAAAACGAGAAAGCAAAATAGATAGATAGACTTATTTGTCTTGGACAATATCCCGGCAATTTAGAATCATAACAATGATGAGAGAGACCGATGCCAAAGTTAATAATAACTCATCACCTTGGAATATAACGAAACCATCAAAAATAAGAGATTATCAGAAATCATCTGTTTGTGATTTGAAAGTATTGATTAAAAAAATTTCTGATCAATTTGCGCCAACTGTTTATCATCGCGTTCCATTGTTGTTTAGATCCAAACGACACAAATCATGGGATCCATCCAGCTTGGTATCCAACACGCGGTCGGTGGTTTGGCTAGTAAACCAGAGCGTGATTTACTGATGCAAGACTTCATGACGGTAGAAACGACGAACTTCCCGAGCGAGGGATCCAACCACACTCCTGCTCATCATTTCTCCGAGTTTAAGTTCAAAAACTACGCACCCATTGCATTTCGTTACTTTCGCGATCTCTTTGGCATTCAACCGGATGACTTTCTGGTAAATATAAATTCTTCTACGTGTATTTGCTCTTATGTTCTTTGCTCTTACGGACAAGTTACGAGGAGACATACGAAGAGATACAAATAGATCACGAATCCCTTACGTTTCCTTCCGTAATACGGCCATCGCCTATTTCGCTTGCTAATTGGCGACCATCTAACGACACCATTTGAATATTCAGATGTCGATGTGTAGCGCTCCGTTGCGCGAATTGTCGAACCCGGGCGCTAGTGGAAGTATCTTTTATCTAACAGATGATGACGAGTTCATCATAAAGACTGTACAACACAAAGAAGGAGAATTTTTACAGACGCTTCTTCCAGGATATTATATGGTGAGCTTTTTAAACATAATGTAGCCTTATATCAGAAAGTAATCAATCTTTATCTGTAGAACCTAAATCAAAATCCGAGGACGTTATTGCCAAAGTTCTTCGGATTGTATTGCTATCGGTGTAATAGTAAGAATGTTAGATTAGTCGCTATGAATAATCTTCTACCGTCATCGGTGAAACTGCATCAGAAGTACGACTTGAAAGGATCGACGTACAAGAGAAAGGTTTTGAAATCTCGACACATTTTTATATCGATCTTGATAAGTTTGTATTCTTTTTAACGAACGTCCTTTGATCCGTAGGCATCAAAATCGGAAAGGTCCAAGTCTTCTCCAACGTACAAAGACTTGGATTTCATGGAACACCATCCGGAAGGGATCTTTCTGGAGGCGGACACATATAGCGCTCTGGTTAAAACTATCCAAAGAGATTGCCGGGTATTGGAAAGTTTTAAAATCATGGATTATTCTCTCCTCGTTGGTATTCACAACCTTGACCAGGCTGCAAGAGAAAAAGCGGTAAGTAGACTACAAAAGCGATGCGAAAAGCGTCGTTGTCCGTTGCCAAGGATACAAAGCACAATCCTTTCTGCCGTAGCAGGAGCAGAGATTATCAGCGAGTGCGGAGGAAGAAATCGGCGAAGTCGGAGGTGAGAGTGCAGCATTTACTCAAGCAGAAAGAGAACGGGAACGGGAGGATAGAATAGGTGCCAGCGCTCTGAACCGATCGCGAAGCATAAACCGACAAAGGTTGGTTGCGCACAGTACCGCTATGGAGAGTATTCAGGCTGAAAGCGAGCCGATAGACGAGGAGGACGATGTACCGTGAGTATTATGGTTTCATTTCTTCGCACGACGATTGTATACACAAACATACGATCTAGTAACGTGATTTTAATTATGTTCGTGTTCCTAGCAGTCCAGGTGGAATCCCTGCTCGTAATGCTCGCGGCGAACGCCTGTTACTCTTCGTTGGTATTATTGATATTTTGCAAAGTTACAGGCTCAAGAAAAAATTGGAACATACCTGGAAATCGATGATACATGACGGTGTAAGTTACATGAACCTTTTTCTCTTCTTCTTCCTATGATGATTATTTACATCTTTTATATCTTTTATGGTTTATTCACAAACGTATGAACTTGTATATCATCGGTCATGTTTGTGCATGTGTATTGTATATGTGTTTTAAAGAACGTGAATTGTATTTGTATTGCAGGATACTGTATCAGTACATCGGCCAGGTTTTTACGCGCAACGTTTTCAAGATTTCATGGCGAAGACAGTATTCAAAAAGATACCGTCACGTAAGTACCATCCTAATCAGCCTCTTCTAACAAATTTGACCTCAATGTTAACACTGAACAAGGCTCATTCTTAATTTGTAAGCAATTTTTTAATGAGTTACTTACTGTTATATTTTTGGGTTCATTAATATCGACTGACGTTTCTCGTATTATCTCGTCAAATCGATTTAACTATATCTCGTGTAAAGCATAAAGTACAAGAAAAGTTTTAGGCTTTAAGTAGAGTAGACATTATAACCAGTATTTTTATCGTCAGCTGACCGTGATTAATTGAATTTTTCTGTTTATAGTAGTAGCATCAATTACTGTGATTCAACTATATTATAAATAATGCAATGTTGTCGCATAGTACCTTTTACAAAAAAAAAAGAGAGAGAAAAAATAATGAAAAAATCTTTGAAACATATTTTAAATGTACGGATAGGTAAATGGGGGTGAACGAGAGTTTGGAAAAATTACAAAGGGTAAAACGCTCAAAAAAAGTATGGTACTTATATATTATTGACGCGCATAATTCTGCCATTTATAATTAAGTAGCGATGTAATGATCTTGTTGTTTAAGATTCCAGTTTGTATAGAGCCGTAAGCCATAAGCTAGTTACATATATATATATATATATATATATATATATATATATATATATATATATCTTTTTTAGCTTTCTTATTATATAAGCGCTATCACTGAACGTTCAAATTCATTTAATCGGCTCAGTGAGATATTATTTCGTAATGCATGATAAGTTTCAGTATCCGATCGTATTATCGGATCATTCGATTATGTAAATCTTCAATGCCATCGATTCCATTCGCATATATCATTCCTTTGTTCTTTAATTTTTTAATTTACTTTTTCACTTCTTTTTCTTTATTTTTTTTTTTTTTCTACCGAGAAAAAGAAGAGCTATTCGAAGCGAGAATGAGCGAATATCAGTTTCTTTCCATCATACTATTTATCACATACAAAATTTAGCCGTCCAGAAAGATTCTAATAATCGTAATAGTGACTTAAGGTAATTAAGTGACTGCAGAGAATGCGATAAATCCTGTGCGGATATCCGAAAACTACGCACGCGTTTCTACTCGTGTCTCGTATCGAGTTTTTAGCAAACTTTTTTAACACATTGAGTTTTAATTCGTATGTTTTATCTGCACGTACGTAGAGTACAAAGATCAGATAAAATTGGTTGACACTTCGAGAATCTAGTTGGCAGTCCTGGCGTCGATCTTTTTTCGGATATCTGCATCTCCTTGATAATCAACGCTATCGATCAAATTATCCTGGGTTTATTGAATGTCAGTTGGTCACTTTTGGGTTTTGTATTGTGGTGTAACTAATTGCTAACACGGCACACATGTTTCTTAATACGTTTTCTTTTTTTCTTTTTTTAATTTCGTTTTAGATATCCATAATGTTCGTTCGACTTATTTTTTGTTACATATTTTGTTCGTTCCAATATATTCGATCTCATTATTCACTTTGCATTTCGTTTTCGAAACGATCATTTTATTTTTGTCTTGAGATGTTTAGTAAAAAAAAAAAAAAAAAAAAAAA